TTAATTTGTATTAGAAGGAAAATGTGAGTTGGTCAGTAGCTGTGTCAAGAAAAAGCCAGTTTAATTGTGTGGATGCTGGGGCAGCAGCATCCAAATTAATAATGTTTCATTTTATTTCCTTTGGTATAACAACAAATATACACAACATTGATTTAACTTTAAAACACCAGGACAAGTCTGTGCTTTATAAAAGCTGTTGGGGTAGAATCTAATTCTTTTAATAAATCAAAGTATTTTCTAAGCTTTCTTCATGTCATGTTTATTATTTTATTATAAAGTGTATAACCACATATCGAAGCACGGTTAGCACACTCGGGTTTTGCGATGTTCTACGTTGACAATCCAGATTATGACTATTCTGCCTACACTTTCCAGGTCTCAGTGGACACAATAGCACCTCTGACAGACCCTGAAAAGCTACTGGCAGAGAACAATAATGGGGAAAAGCCCACTTCCGTATTTGTCTTTCAACAAAATAAACACAGCAGCCTATACGAAATCCTTATAACACACACCCACATCTGGATCAAAACACCCAGCCAGTCTTACCTCCACTACCTGTCCTTCTACAGTTATTAACCCCCGAGTCTCTTTACAATTCGCCAGGATGGTCTCAGTTGAGGCAGGCTGAATAAGGCCTGCAGCCTCTTTTTTCAGCTCCTCAGTGATGTGCACTGGGGTGCTACAGAAGAACAAGGTGTTCTTATTTATGCCGGTGGAGTAGGGGGGGCGCCTTGCCTGTTCTTCGGCAATTCTTCAGCACTTAACATCCACACACATTTTCTTCAGGAAATGCATTTGTCTAGTTATGTTCTGTGAAAGTTTTTTGTCCTGAATTCAGTCTGTCAGGTAGTTTTTCCTCCTAATAAGCTCCTTAAATCTGACATCTGTTTTGTGGTTTCAGGTCAGAGCTGCTCCAGTTCAAGTTTTGAGGCTGGAATGAAATTATTTGCTGAGATTTAATGTGTGGAGCCTGTTGGAGCTCATATGAAACTTAAAGTCTACATGAAAAAGGCGTGTGAAAGGTAACAAATCAGATTTTGATATATTTGTAGGGA